ACAGGCGGCAGGCAGAGTAGTTAGGGGCAAGCAGGCAGGCAGGCAGGCAGGTGAGTGGTTAGGAGCCAGCAGTCCTGGATTGTGAGAGGGATGTCTAACTGCCGGCTTAGGCCCGATCCCTGTAAACCAGCAGTAGTACATCCTTCGAGGGGTCCCAGATTGGAGAGGGTGCAGGCTGGGCTGAGGGATCACCCCCCCCCCCCCCCGCCTGAATTTTGTGCACTGAGCCTCTAGTTATGTATAACAGGATATTGTAAAAATTGATTTTTATTAAAACATTTCTTACATACCGTTATATTGACTGAGCTGCAAAAATATTCATTGTGGGCCGCATGCAGCCTGTGGGCTGCAAATTTGACATGCTTGGCATACAGCATTGGAAGAGGTTGTTTTAGATTTTGGAAATATATGGGGACTAGACTCTACAAAATTTATGGGTCAAAGAGGGAGGATGAAGACTCAAGATTGAGGGTTTGGATGACTGGGAGCTGGCAGTACCTTTGACCTGAACGTAGGAGGAGTATAGGTAGGTCTGTGTGTGTGTGTGTGTGTCTGTCTCTTTTTAAAAGATGTCTATGGACCATTAAGGTAGTGAGGATTAGTAGGCAATCAGTCAATCTGAGCTTTCTCATTCTGTGCTTTAGAATATTGGAAATACTAAGATGAAAATTTAATCTCATTAGATTTCTTTTTCCATTTCCGAGGATTTAAGATTCAGCAAACTCTTTGGACTTAAACCAAAACTTTGCTCTCATTAAAAGTTTGTAATTTGAAAACTCAAACTGTGAAAAGACACATAATTAAAATCAGTGGTTCCCTCCCCTGCCTTTCATTCCTGGACTTTTTACTCAGTGCATTTAGATGTTTCTTTTGATATTTATCCACTCATTTTAATGTGTTAATATTGTTATTCTTTAATTTATCACTTTTATATTACCTATTGACTTCCCATTAAGGTGAGGATTTAGTTCTCACATACCTCATCTCTCCAATTAATAACACAATTTTTGGTTCAGTCAATAGACCATATGTACATTATGACTATGTAAATAGTCACTCAAGGGCCAGGCGTATACTCAGATTACACGTTCTTTCACATAGAAAGAATTTTGGTATTAGTTGCCTTATTTATACTTCCATGATTTTTGTTAAACTCATCTTAAAAATGTTGCAACAGCTTCCTTAGATTCACCATATATCTGTCACTGGTGTGTTTTCACAATGCTCAGTTAATCAGTATTTTTTCTTGTCTGCTGGTGAAGCTGTTAGTCTTCCTGTTCCTATTTATTCTTTAGGGTCTCTGCACAGTTGCTTCTCAGGGACTTCCCAAATAGTTACTTGATGTCTTCCTTTTTATTGGTGTGTTCTGTGTGTATGTGTGTGTTGTATTCACAACGTATCTTCTGAGAAAATGTGTGTGTGGATAAGTCTGTATATATAAAAGTGCTGCTTTTCACACTTGATTGACAGTATGTGTACAGAATTCTTCACTGAAAATCTTTCTTCCTTGGACTTTTTTAGTGTTGCTTCATTGACTTTAAGCTTGCAGTATTAGAATGGAGAGTTCAGATGCCATGTGACTTTTTTTTCCTTGAACATTTCTGGGATATTTTCTTACATTTGTCAATATTTTTCTCCCTTTACATTTTCTCTATTTTCCCTTTTCTCTGGAATTGTTACTGTTAGTCAAATGTTGATTTCCTGTTTTGATTCTCTAAGTTTGTTCATTAGTTTTCGCTTTGTTCTGAGAGAGTTTTATTTTCTTAATTATCTTTGTTTTTATCATATCAATTTTTGTTTGTTTTGATCTCTCCTGTCTGAGATTTTGCAAATCTTGATGATCTTTAGCTCTATTCATATTTAAAAGTGAAAAAGGCTAATTGGCAGTTCTGTGTTTGAGGGGGGCCTTTTCAAGTAAAAGTGTGGATTTCCCTGCAGAACTGCTATTTTGTGCAGGAAGTGCCAAATAGTATGTGAATGTCTTTTCTCTGGGATTATTCAGTTTCCATAAAGAAGGATCTTCCATTTGAAGGGAGAAGGATGGGGTGGATGGGTGGAGCAGGAAAAAAAGTATATTTCTTCTGGCTGATGGCATTCTAGAATTAAAGAGAAGAGCAGGGTTAGATATTTGAGCATTTCTAATGTTACTGTTGACTTAAAATCCACAAGCCCTATGACACCCCCCCCACCCCCCCCCACCACACATCTACTATGAGTCTGTCTTAGAGTCTGAAGCTTTTATCTTTCAGTTTTTGCACTAACAATACTTCTCTTTTTTACTGTTTAGTCTTCCAGTCAATCTTTACCTCTCACCCACCAGCTCTCTGCCTTTAATCCACACTCACTGTATCCTGTCCTCAAGTCCTGAACTGCTCAGAGGCCTGCAGGACACCTATTAGTGCACTTAATAGTGTTTCTACCTCAGCACACCTGCCTTACGCTGCTGCTTCAAAGTTAAACTTTTCTGGTCTTAATGCCATGGAAAGATTACTTGTTTTTAAATCTTGCAGGAAATCACAGAATTTTAAAACTATGGCAGACCTGCATGCAGTTAGTGTGGTTTATACCTGTGTCATCTCAACTGAGCAGATACTTCTGATTTGAATATTTAGATAGGTTGGAGTTGGAGAATAATGGATGAGAAGCATCTTGAACCTCAGTGACTAATATTTAGAAATCATTGATGTGATAGAAAGAAGCTAGGTAAAGGCTTCGTTTTCCCTGGTATCTCTACCAGTAATTAGCCATGAACCCTTGGAGAAGTCAACCCCTGAGCACCCAATTTCTGGTAAAACAATAAAATACTGGATGTAGTAGTTGTGAGCTCCAATCTTCTGAGGTAGTTCACAAGACATAAGACGTCTTAGAGCAGTGGTTCTCAACCTTCCTAATGCCGTGACCCTTTAATACAGTTCCTCATGTTGTGGTGACCCCCAATTCATTGTTACAAATTGAACATAATTAAAGCATAGTGATTAATAACAAAAACAATATGTAATTACATATGTGTTTTCCGATGTGGACTCCCCACATCTGGTTTTGCTTCAGTCCCTTTTGGTCCCAGCACAGCGTTCTACCTGAATCGCAGCTTGACAAGCACATTTCATATTTATTTAATATATATTTTATTAATTTCAAAAAGGAAGGAAGAGGGAGAGAGAGAGAAACATCAATGATGAGAGAGAACCATTGATTGGCTGCCTCCTGCACGCCCTCCACTGGGGATCGAGTTTACAACCCAGGCATATACCCTGACTGGGAATTGAACCAGGACCTCCTGGTTCATAGGTCAAAACTCAACCACTGAGCCAAGCTGACCGGACATTACTGTAAAATTTGGACTTTAATTTTCATAGTCATGCTTAGGTAGATTTTCCCAGGAGTGTTCCATAACCTTATTGTGGTTCACAGGTAGGATATCTTTTTACATCATTGACAAATGGGTATTTGAAGGTCAGTGCAAGTTTGAGTGGCTCCACTGATAACGGAAGCTTACAGAAACCAGGAAGGGAAACCAGTGATATTTGCTTGTTTTGTTTTTATTTTTAAAGGTGGACAAATTCATAGTAATTCCTCTTAAAATCATCATTAATGGTTGCTTAAAATACCTGACCAGGCTGTTTTGGTGTTTTTTGTTTTGTTTTGTTTTTTTGAAATGGGATAGTAATTGAGTTGTATTTAGGTGATAAAGTGTCAGTGTGAAGTCTAAAAGGAATTTGAGGATACAAAATTGCTATAGTTCCTGTTTATTTTACATGTGGTAATAGTAATATTTATTTTACTTTTAGTAATGAATGTTATAACTATTGAAGATTATAAGAGCACATACTGGCCAAAATTGGATGGTGCCATAGATCAGCTTTTAACACAGAGTCCTGGTGACTATATCCCCATATCCTATGAACAGATATACAGGTAAGTCGGGATTTAATTCGCCTGGGTTTGCGAGGGTATATTGAGGTTCATGGCAACTTGATTATGATAGTATGTATGCATATAATATATATAATATATAAGATGAGGCTCTAAGTTATTTATATGTTACACACATGTGGATTGGAGGTTTGATTTATACTTTTTGCTTCAGACTTGGTTTTCAAATCAACATAGAGTTAACTCCACTCAGCCTGCCATCTGTGCCATATGTAATGCAGAAATGATGGAGGTCGGCAAAAATACATATTTTTAGTCTCACAGGGAGACTTTAGCTTAATCTGTCCATGTTTAATGACACACAGTTCTAACTCTCTGGTTATTTTGTTTCCCAGCTCCTGGTAAATGGAAGCAGCAAATTAGTGAGGAACTGGGGTGGGTATGAGATCAACCCAGTCACAAGAGGAGGAAGTGACAACTGGGTTGTTCCACACAAGTGAGGCACAAAGAGGTTACATTGCACATGTTTTAGTGAGTTAGAAACTTTCTACCCATTATCACTCTCTTCCTTATTTTGACATTCATTAAAATGAGAGAGAAGCTGGTCTATAAGTAGTTACCATAGTCAGACTCTCAGATTATCACCAAGTATTAGATTATCTAGTATTGATAAAATGTGTAGTAGAGTACTCATAAAAGATTTATTTGTTGCTGGTGGTAATACCTCTCCCATCTGAACACTGATTGGAGCAGGGTAAATTTTTTATTTAAAAGTTGTGATTGGTCACTGTTTTTAGGCCTGAATTGGTTATTTGACCAGTGGCTGTATATACAGAGTATGCTTTAACCTTAGGCTGAATTGCATGCTTCATCATTAACCTGGTTTTTCTGTTTTGTTTCCCCCACAGTTGTGTGTATAAATGTGTATGCCAGCAGCACTCAGAACAGATGTATAGTGATCTGATTAAGAAGATAACTAATCACTTAGAGAGAGTCTCAAAGGAGCTGCAGGTAAAGAACTGATTGTATTGCTTTCTGCTTTCTTGGGATTTTCTGACTGGTTGCAATTAGCCTGTATAATATACCTCCGGAGGCTTGTTAATTTGAGTATGAGATGAATTTATAAACATCTTCTAGATGGATATTGACCAAAGCAGCTAATTTTGTAATAGATTCTTATTTAAAAATTATGACATAAATTGTGGAAATTTTTTAGATTGAATATATTTCAGACTTTAACTGATTCATTTATTACCGTGTGAATATTTATTTAAAACCTTATTTTTTTCCCGGTGCACTTTGGTATTTGGTGGCATTTATAATATAAATGTGTATATGTTAATTTTTTTCTGAAACTTTCAAAAAATTATCTTTGAAGAGTGATTTGCCTACCAGTTTCTAAAATTTGCTAATTATGAACAACTGAAGTCAGAATTTTGTTGATAAACTCTCTTTAGACAAACATTATGCTGGCTGTAAAATCTGGGGCAAGTTGTAGAAAATATTCTGCTTAAGAAAACACTTGGCCTCTTGATGCCCCCAACATCCCTCTATGTCTCAGTAAGGTTTCCAGTGCTTGAAGGTCAAGTACTATTTTTATGCCAGGGCCAGATCACATTTTAGTTTTGGAGTAGAAGTAACATGATGTATAGGAAAGTCACTCAGCAATAAATTATGGGTCTACACCACAGTTGGGAAGTACTCCAGCAATTCTGAAATAGCCACAGTTTCTAGAAAGTGCTGGGCTGTGCTCTGGGCTTAGATATTATTCTTTATTTGCCTGTGTGCTGAATTAGCTTAGTCTTATTTAGCCCAAATTGTTGTACTAAGTAGCTTTCTTTTTTTCTTTTTTTAAATTATAGCCAGAGCACTGTTATCATAGCCAAATATATACTTTTCCTGTTTAGTGTAAAGTGTTTTCTTCATCTTTTTGCCACTAAATACAAGATCTTTATTCATTTAACAAATATATTTAGTACCTAGGTATTGTATATAAATTGCAGATGAAACCCCTGATCTGTACATTATAGCTTTGAAAGGTTTACCTACTACAATGGGGCCTTGACTTACCAGTTTAATTCATTCTGAGACCAAGCTCGTTAAGGAACTCGTAACTCAAATTACTCTGTCAACTCAGTGCAAAAAATTGGCGGAGAGACAGCTGGTATCTCAAAAAACTCGTTGGGACACTCGTAAATCAAGGCCCCACTGTAATTCTTTTTTTACTTTAAATAATTTTATATTTTTCAGTTACAGTTGACATATACTATTATATTAGTTTCAGGCATACAACCTAGGGCAGCCGTGGGCAAACTACAGCCCGCAGGCCGGATCCGGCCCGTTTGAAATGAATAAAACTAAAAAAAAAAAAAAAAAAAAAAACCGTACCCTTTTATGTAATGATGTTTACTTTGAATTTATATTAGTTCACACAAACGCTCCATCCATGCTTTTGTTCTGGCCCTCCGGTCCAGTTTAAGAACCCATTGTGGCCCTCGAGTCAAAAAGTTTGCCCACCCCTGATCTAGGGAATAGACATTATATAATTTAAGAAGTGATCACCCTTATAAATCTAGTACGGATCTGACACCATACATAGTTATTACAATACTAGAGGCTCGGTGCATGAAATTCGTGCAGGGAAGGGGGGGTTCCCCTCAGCCCAGCCTGCACCCTCTCCAATCCTGGACCCCTTGGGGGATGTCTGACTGCCAGTTTAAGCCCGATCCCAGGGATTGGGCTTAAACCGGCAATCGGACATGCCTCTCACAATCCTGTACTAGTCATAATACATGGATACATGACAGGAGTACTCCTCTATCCCATTGAATTTAAACTTGGCCAAGTGACTTACTTTGTCTATGAATTGTGAGTGAAAGGGAAGTATATATCCCAAAATCTGAAGCCTTTGAGTTCGGCTGTGCAATTTTCCATGTTTCCTTAACCTCCCAAGTGTTCTAGTTGGTAGAGTCTCCTTAACCTGAATCTCTGAGTAATAAGTCTGACATGGAGCAAACCCTCAAGATGGGCATGTAACATGAGTGGGAAAGAAAGATTTGCTATACATTTTCTCTTAATTATCTAGTTCATTTAAAATTTTTATTTTAATTGAGGTATAATTCACATGTCCTGACATTCACCTTTTTTGTTTTGTAAAGTAAGTTTTTATTGATTTTAGAGAGAGAGAAAGGGAGAGGGGAAGAGAGAG